TAAAATTTTTTATAGTTTTAATGATAGTAACAGTCTAACAAATTGTCATATGAAAATAAACAAAGAAAAACATTTTTTTTCTATGTGAAAACAAATATGTTTTTTGACAGATACAAATGTTAAAAAAATGCTGACTGACGTTTTTCATACAAATTGTTAGTCCATTATTTCTAAACGGTATTGAATTCAGATTTTCCCGTTATTTCCCGATCATGACAAGGAGCACACGGAAAGTTTGACCAGTCGGCAGGGGTTGCTAAGTCCTCATTCGCACCTGATCACACCTTTGATGTTTTGGAGGACCAAATTTGTTTGCTCCTATTTTTTTTGTTTATTTGACTTTGGAGCTGAAAAATACTTGTGGCCTTTAAATTGACGCTTTTAGATATATCGACGACGTATTGTCAATTAACAAATTGAATTTCAATTCTTATGTCGATGCAATATATACCGGGGAGCTTGAGATAATTTGAATATTTTACTTGAAAAAACTTAAATAGTAATCTAACAACCAACCTCTATTATGAACGTGCTGACTTTAGTTTTTCTATCGTCAACTTCCCTTACTTTTGCAGCAATATACCTTCATCAACTGCATACGGAGTTTATATATCTCAGATGATTCAATACGCCAGCGCATGCTCTTAATTCTTTGCCTTTTTTTAATATCAGTAAGATATGTCAGAAATCTAAGATTTTTTCGTAAGTTTAAGATTAAAACATTGTGCATGCATTTATACCTAATTGCTATTTGGTAAAATCATTATGCAGGTTCTGTGAAAGGAGTGCAGGGAAGGTCATAGTTGCATGGTAACTCCTGATTCTAGCGAGAATATTTTTTGTAATAAAGGGTACTATTTTGGTGTGTTTTGTCACCTCTAGAGGTTATTCTTTTACAAAATTAAACAAGAGGCGCATGGGCCACATCGCTCATCAGAACACTGTAGGTTGATAAAAAGTGAAAAATCAATCCAGTATTGAAAAAGTTAAATTCATAACTTTCATTCCAATTTCCCCTAAATGGAAGGGGTATCAAGTAAATTGAAGCTAGTACGCTTACGTAGAACGCATACATGCTTTGACTTACTGTGGCTTTTTTAGGTCACCTGAGTAAAACTATGGTGACCTATTGCTATCCGTTTTTGTCTGTCAAGTCGTGCGTCGTCCGTTGTGCACCGTGCATAATCTTTCAACATTTTTAGCTTCTTCTTTGCAACCACTCAACCAAATTCAACCAATTTTGACATAAAAGCATCTTAAGGTTAAGGGAAACAAAAATTGTGAATTTCATGATCCCTGCCCCCCTGGGGCCTGAGGGGTTGCGCCATTAGAATTAATGCAATCTTTACAAATCTTCTACCATACTCCTAGGGGCACCAGGCAAAAATTTTCTTCTCTGCTCCTGAGTATTTAATAAACTAGCCAAGTATATAGTTATGATGAATAAGACTCCTCTTCCAAATTTGTGACTTTCATGGCCCCAGGGTAAGGTTCTGGTGTAAGGGCGGGGCTAAATAGATTTTATGGTGAAAATGCATTCATTCTTTGAAAGTCTTTTTCTCTGCTCCTGGGTATTGAATAAACTAACAAAGTACATGATGAGCAAGAGTGCTTCTTACAAAATTGTGAATTTTATGGCCCCAGAGTCAGGGGTTCTGGTGTTAGGGCGGGGCTCTATTGCTTATATAGTGAAAACACATTAATTCTTTGAAAGTCTTCTTCTATGCTACTGGATATTAATAAACAAAGTACATAGTTATGATGAGCAAGAATGCCTCTTCCAGTATTGTGAATTTTATTACCCCAGGTTTTGGATCCTGATGTTATGGAGAGGCTCTTTTAATTATATAATGAAAATACATTTAAATATTTGAAAATTTTCTTCTTTGAACCTGGGTTCAACTACCTGTAAATTATGATGAGCAAGGACCCTTCTTCGAGTATTGGGGGGGGGGGTCTATTTATATACAGAAAATGAATTAATTGTTTGAAATCTATTCCTTGGTATTTAATCAATAATTTTATAAGCAAGGATGCCTTTTTAAAAATTGTACAATGTAAGGTCAGAGGGTCAGGATTAATGTGTGGTAGGGGCACTGCTGATTATTGTTGAATAATACTGATTAGATGAATTGCATTAATGTTGGTATTAAGTAATCAAACTAATCAATTGCTAAGTGTATGTTATGATGAGCAATGGTGCCTCTTTCAAAATTGTGAAAGCCATAGCATCTAGCTTAAAATATGAACCAAATTTAATCACCAGAAAGTTGTTGCATGATGTTCAGGTGACCTATAAGGCCCATGTACCACTTATTTTCGTATACATTTTGGCCCCACCCTATCGCCAGGGTTCGCAATTTGAACAAGTTTGAATCTACACCGACTGAGGATGCTTTCATTTATATTTGACCAATCCCGACTTTGCTGTTGATGATCAGAATATTTTTAAATTTGTTTTTCTATATATTGCTATGTAAGACTTTGGATGTCCATTGTGACTCCATCCTACTCCTGGGGGTCATGATTTGAAAAAAAAAACTTAAATATCAAGATGATGCTTCCACAAAAGTTTCATCATTCCTGGCCCAGTGGTTTTTTGAGAAGAAAGAAGATTTTTGAATATTTTCTTGTATATTCCTATTTTAAACCCTGATTTTCATTGTGGCCCCGCCCTTATCCTAGGGGTAAGGATTTGAACAAACTTGAATCTACACTACATGCAGATGCTTCCATATAGGTTTGTCTTTCCTGACCAATTAGTCCTTGAGATCTAGAGAAGAAGATTTTTTGAATATGCCACAAAATTTTCACTATTTCTCAATTATCTTCCCGTGTAAGAAGGTGCAAAAGGTGTGCCCCCCCTTTTTTTTTTAACAAACTTGAATTTCCGTCAGCCAAGGATGGTTTGTGACAAGTTTGGGTGAAATTGACCCATTGGTTCTGGAGAATAAGTCGCAAATATGGAAAATTTACAGACAGATGGACCGCTAGACAGACGGATAGACAGACAGTCTGGACAGACAGACGGACGCCGGAAAAGCTCACTTGAGCCTTCGGCTCAGGTAACCTAAAGAAATCCAGAGGCATTTCTTTGAACTCATCAACGATGAATTTAACTTGTTCCAAAACTTTTTCTGTTGATAGTCTTAAAATAACGTTCCGATGGCTTCCTAAATGCATTGTTTCCAATGTATATATACACTGTACTTAAGATATTATGCTTTTATCTCTCACGTACATCCATAGTGAAAAGATCATCTATTTAAATACGTATCTATCTATATAGCAGATGTAATGAATTGCCAGTCTACACGCAATTGCTTCACATCTTACCTGTATAAATAAAAGAAGAATCTGAAATTACTGTCACAATCAAAGAGTGGACTTCTGACTCGTGACATTATTAGACAATCTGGAATCGGTAAATATACAAACGTATCTAATGACTTACACGTATATCTCGGTCTTTTCTAAACAAATTCACAATGCGTTATAGTTATAATTCATAAGTATATAGATATAAATAATCGCTTGCTACCATTCTTCTTTTTCTTACATTGAAATATATACAGAATGAAATGCCAAAATTGAGAAACAAAAATGATCTCAGCAAAATTAAACCTTAAATTAGTAGCGATTTTTACATTAATATGGAATTATGCTTTGCTTAAGAAGTATATTAAATGTACTCATTATAATCAAGTAATTTTATATACAATTACATCCATTTTATAAACATGATTACAGAAAAAAGCAGTGACTATAAAAAAAGAACAAATATGGCTAAAATATGAATCCATGAAAGTTAGGCAATTCAAAAGGCTGAACAAATCTGAATATCTGAATATTTTTGTCTTATATTTTTGAAACTTGTGATTGAATAATTATTTTTTAGATAAAAATTATGTTTATATAAAAATAATTCTTCATTTATTTTCAAGTGAATCATTATATTATACATGCATTTTTTTTGTTTTTTGAAGGTTAAAATCATTTTTTTTTACTTTATAATGGATCTGAGTATAATCAATGCTAACAATGCTCCCATTTGATATTTAATTCATTAAAACCTGCTTTGTAGTATAAAAAGAACTAGAGCAACCGGTATGCAGCCTTTGAGACGATGTTTATCAGAAAGAAATGGACAAATTCAACGTCAAGAGAGAGAGAGCTAGAAGTAAAAGTCTTCATTTTGAACCAACACTTGTCAGAACCACGAATACCAAAGTTGGGACACAGCACATTGCAACAGACCTGTTTCTTTATTTGATACTAACATTTCTATTTGTCTTAAATTATGATAAAGAGCTAAGAAAGTGCAAACTGTGTGACTACTGCAAAATTAACAAGAAAAAAGGCCACCAAAGGAAAGGTCAAGAGGAACGGACAAACACTTTAGAGACTCAAATGAATGATTGTCTTATTAAATTATTATTTGATTGGTGTGATTTAGAAAGACCTTTGAAAAATTTACTGTGGTATGATTTAGCAAACAAAAGTGTTTCACTTCAGAAATTATTTCCATTTTTGTTTGAAGATTACCTTAATTGTGTGAGGTCAGTGCAAAGAACAATTATTAAAGTAATGCCTCTCATCGACTGTTCCAAGACATTAGAAGAATACGTTCAAAAAGAACTAAATTTATCTCAATCTATAAACCCTCTTAATTCTTCAACACCAGAAGGAAGTCCACATTCTATGAACATGGAAATTATACGTATAAGCACTTTTCGTAATTTCCCACAAACAACTTCAATATCTACAATACGACTTGCTAAAGAGGGATTTTATTACACAGGCGATGGAAACAAAGTCGCCTGTTTTGCTTGTGGGGTTCATCGGGATGGATGGAAAGCAGATGATGATCCCAGAGAAATCCACTGTCGACTGTCTCCAAATTGTCCATTTCTAATTTCATGTCAGTCTGGAAATGTTCCTGTACAAGAAAAAGAGAATGTCGCAAGCAACCATACCGATACACAACCACGTGAAGAAAATGGTGGATCGACTTCGGGTCCAGCTCCAACAATTGCTACTTTCAACTCTAATCAAGGAGGAGACGAGTTCAACGTTACAAGTTCAGAGAGGCACGAGAGAAGAAGACCTCATCAAAGATCGAGAACATTACAGGAAAAAATCAATGTCTTTCTTAGAAACTTAGATCCACTTGGAATTAATTTTGAGCGTCCAAAGTACCCCGCTTATGCAGTTGTAGCAACCAGAGTAAGTTCCTTTAATGACTGGCCGTCAAGTTTAACGCAGACGCCGCGTGATCTTGCTTTGGCGGGATTTCTTTATGCGGGGTACGGAGACTACACACGCTGTTTTTTCTGCGGAGGGGGATTACGTAATTGGGAACCAGGGGACGATCCCTGGATTGAACATGCCAGATGGTTTCCGAAGTGTGCATTTTTGAGACAGAACAAAGGAGACGAATTTGTTGTCTTGGTGCAAATTGAACATAATGAAATGGTAGGGGATAGAAATATTTTTCAATATTACTGATATTAAATCAACAGAAACGGAAATTTAAATATTTGCTGTCTGACTTCTTTATTTTAATAATTGATTTTTATATGGAATGTTACAGGAGGCATCGGAAGCCATGAACACAGAAAAGGCAGCAGTGGGTGCAGTATCAAACACATGTAGGAACAATAGTAAATTAACAGAAGCAGAAGAAAGGAACACAGCAACTTCTAACATTTTCAACTTAGTTTCTGTCCAGAGTGTTCTAGAAATGGGTTACACTCGACAAACTGTAAAGGAAGCATTTGATCTTCTTAGAGTAACAAAACGTATTTGATTTATTTCTAAATAATTAGAATCAAGTATTTTAACGAATTAATAGTTTTTGTTTTTTCTTTACTCATCCATATTCTCAAGTCTATTTTTAACATAGTTGAATTTGTATTCACAGATATAGATGATATCTCAGGAGAAGACTTGATTGATGCCATTCTGTCAAAAGAGGAAAATAGTACAATATCAGATATCCAACCTGCTTCTCATAATCCTGAACCAAAAGCCCAAGGGAGAACATATAATGATGCAGGAGATACAACTGAAATTAATAAAACGGAAGACAAACCTAACATAGATTCCTATAGCGGTAAGTAATAACGAACTAAAAGTCTCTGATTCCTCATGTTTAATTTAATAAAAAAGAGTTTTATAGGTATGATGAAAATAAAACTCTTTGAACAGTTCTGTGTCATCCCCTTGAATAGAACATGGGTTCATATCATCATGTAATAAATACATTTAAGTTTCCCTACTTGATTACAGATCTTTCTTGGAAAACCTTCGTAACTGATATAGATCTTGTAGTGTTTTTACTTCTCAGAGGATACATGTAATTAATAATTCTAAATTTTAATTTCCAGACACCAAAGCTTTGATTGAAGAAAACAGAAGATTAAAGGATCTCCGGGTTTGTAAAATCTGTCTTGAGAACGAGGCTTCTATCGCCATGTTACCTTGTGGTCATCTCTGTTGTTGTCCAGACTGTGCTCCGGCCATGAGGAAATGTCCCATCTGTCGGCAGTTTGTCAAAGGGACCGTTAAAACGTGGCTGGTGTAGAGGAATCTGAATAGAATAATGACGATATGGATATAAAAACGAAATCACATTTGGTAATTTTCACAGAGTTTTATAAAGGAGATATTAGTTTCAGTATTACTTATCTTTTTGAAAGTTCCAATGGTGATTTTAGACATATTTTTTGTTTTGCGTGAGTTATTTGGTGTAAATCACACAGACCTGTCACGTAAGCGTTCTTGTACTGGTGTAAGGATTATGTTAAAAATGCGTAAACAAAAAAACACTCTTGAGAAGTGTATAAAACACAAACCCACGAAAATTCCCGAAGTGAGATCAGGTGCATGCAAGAGAAAACATCCACTTTTGACGGGTCTTCTGTACTGTAAGAACAGATCAGAAAGTCCCAGAGTTGTGGTTGACTAGAACTTGATAAAGGTGCTAAGTCTGTTTAGAGATGATGCAAATTGAACACATTTTTCTCTATGAAATGGTGCAAATTTTTTTTACGTATTCTCAGACTGTTACAATTATCAATCTTATTTTGAATAATACTGCTAGATATTCATAAAATTTTCATTATCAATAAATATATAAACTTTTTAAATCATAAACTTTAGATATTTTGATTATAATTTTACTCTAAATATGAAATATAGAGATACCTCCTTTTTTGTAATGAAAATATCTTATATAATTTCAGATATAAACAGTAAATGCCTGAATGCAGCTAAATTATTCATTGTTATATAGAAAACACTACGAGCATATCATTTATGTATAAGTATTATTCCAGTGGAGCTGGTATTTGACTTTAGAGATAGTAAAAAGTATTTTCCTTTGTTTACAAGGCAAATTAAAATAACTATTTTCATTTGGTTTATTTTAATTACTTATTTATATGTCCAAACTGTAGTTCATGGTTACGAGCTATACATCTTAGTGGATGAAAACATGCAATAACTCAATTCCATGTTCTTTGCTTTGCAAGGAACTTTGATTAAGTTATCCAATCGCAAAAGAGGTTTGGAGGAAAATAGTAATGCGATTGTTTGTTTGTGTGTATGTGTGTGTAAGGGTGTGCGTGAGAGAGAGAGGGTGTGAGAGGGTGTGTGTGTGTTTGTTATTTTGTTTGATTTGGTTATCCTGTGAGAAACCTATGACCCGTAGTATCGATGTCCACTGCTGCCTTGATTTATGTAGATATGCTATTTGAGAAGGGACGATCGGTGTTGTGGTGCCATTGTTTATCTTGCTTTTATTTATTTCTTTTCCTTTCTTTTTATATTTATCTTCTTCTTTGCTTACTTTTTCAAAAATGTACTGTACCCCCCCCCCCCCCCCGGAGACTTTTACATTCATCGTCTGATGACACTTTTTGCGATTAGATGCCCTTATTAGTGTCTATGACTACATTGAGCAATGAAGGGCCCCCTCATTTCCGCACCAACGGTAATAGTAGACTTTAGTTTAATTGTTCTCAACATATGAATGGTTTGATTTAACTCATTTGACTTTTCAATAAATAAAGGAGCATAAATACACAAATTTCATAAACCCTTTATATTTGTGTATAAATTATTTTTCCAGTATATAATTGTTCCCGACTCCCAAGACTCCCAAGACTCCCAAGCTCTGTTTTTTTATGAAACTTTTTTTTACAACCTTTGGCGTCTTATTCCTGTTTCGAGAATGCCTGTAAAATTGAAATTCAAATGCAAAATACTTTTTTAACTTAATTTATTTTGATTTCAGTGACAAATACAATAGATTTTCCAACTATATGTTCGTGTTGATGTCCAACTTCATTTGCCTGTTTGACAAAAATAATCGCACTCCCTTAACACGAAATCGCAAATCATAGCACAAGGCCTCATGTTGTAACCGTGAATTGCACGACATCTTTTATCACAAATGGTAGTAGCTTTATAACATGCTTGGTAGCAGTGTGGGGTCCGGCTCTCTCCATAACAGATGAGAGAAGAAAAACAAACAATCGAAGCAAGAATCCAGTCTCATTCTAGAATAACTAAAATTCAAAATAGAATTGAAAATATATTTTCATGACTTGATAACTTCAAATAAAAAAACATTATGTTGGTTAAGAAGGCATATTATTTTTTTTCTGATATGATGCTTTTCACTAGTAGAAATACTTAAAATTTTTATCCAAGCAGAACTCGTATATGTATCTGAAGACCTTGAGGAAGGAACATAATGCTTGGAAAATAATTTTGCTTTCATAATAAAAGTTAATTTTGTAACCACAATCTATTCGGCCACGAACTTATAAAATAATAATTTTCATATGAATATTGATTTCTACACACCATTGAAATATAATATAATATTTAATTGTAAAAAAAAGATAAACTGTCACTTACTTTTCTTTTTTCCCGCTACAGATTGAATAGAAATAGAAAGGTTTTGTTCCTTCGTAGCCAATTTATAAACATGAGTAGGTTTTTTTATCGTTTGTTATTTCACATACACGAAACCTGATAATTAGTGGAGAATAGTTCAGCTCTCAACATTTTCTCCACATCTGTTGTTTGCAAAACTGTATTGCTTTCAAAATAAATATTGAATTTATAAACTAGTATGTTAAATTTTAGCGAGTCAGGAAAGTGTCTAAATTTTTGGATTGATATCATTTATGTGACTAGATTTATAAAACCAAGAGAAATCTCCTGTTAAGGAGGCTGGGGCTCAACAATTTAACCGCAAATTAACCACCAGATTTAACATATTTTCTAGATACAGTATCCTAAGCTGTCAACAATCATTTGGGAAAGAAAAAATTCATACATTTTAGTTTTAAATTTTGATAATTTTTGTATATCTTTATATGGAGCTCTTCTTTTAAAGGAGATCGAAATGGTCTGAAAATGGCTGCCACCTCCCAGCCTCATTAATTAACAATCACGGAACAGTGCATAATTTTCAAAACCATAGAAATGTTTAATAATTTTCTGAAAACAATCTGTAAACTAGTATGCAACAGTAATCTCCGCTGATTATAACTTCTCTCTGTCAAAAGTACTTATATTTATTTAATACCAAATATGTGTTATTTATGACAATCAAATAAGGATAGTCTTGTTCTGATGGTTCCCTAATAAAAATACTATAGTTAACTATAGTGATAATTTTGATCCAATAAAAACTTTGATTTGCAATAGTGATAAATTTGACTGTTTGATAACTGTAGTATTTTTGTTGAAGTTTATATGTCATATTTTTGTAATCATCACGGTCCTAAAAAGTCAGATAAAGTGAGCCAGGACAATCTCAAATTTTCTTCTGAGTCAATTTTTTGGATCAAAATATTATTCATTTATATAAATCTAATCTTGAAAAAAAATGATATATTGCTAAAATGAATTTCATCAAAATCTAATAGTTTTTTAAAGTAGTTTTAAATACCCATGCATTCTATTTTAAATAATTTCTTAAAAGGAACGGGAAAAAAAGAATAATATCAATATATTGTCAACAATGAAATCAATTGTCTTTGTAAGAAAAAAATTGGTACCCTCCGCGTCCCATATGAATATAATGGGAGTGCCCATGTTTTGCTGTGGGAAATCCAAAGAACGAGTCAGATCAAAATGTAAAACAGGAGGAGCACAATGGCAATATGTAATAAAGATTCTCTTAAACTTTCATCAAATTCCATTTGGTGGCAAGAGAGATGATGAGAATAAGAGATGGATACTCCACAGCGTAACAGACAGATGGACGGTGTTCTATAAATAGTAGTAACTCGATATTTGGACATGTGAACATGGAGTGTCCATTCTTTATGTACTATAAAGGTCAAGGTCATATGAGAAAATCAAAGATGAAATACTTTGTCTTCATCTACCGAAACTATCATTTTTGTTGATATTGAATTTTTGTAATCTCCAAATCATCTGAAAGTATCGGTTATATTTTCATTATTTTTGGGACATTTTATTCTGGGACAAATTTAAATCATTATTTATGTCTGTTCTATAGTGTATTATTACATCACATTTTACTCATATTTAGCAGTATCAATATAACTTAATAAATTCAAGTAATAAGTAGTCTTTATAAACAGCATCACAAAGGTTTGCAATCGATCAATTTAAATTTTTAAAAGTCGAATGTCTGTTTTATAATTATCTTACTGGGATCAGATAAGCCATATTTCAAACTATGTGGACAAAAGCAGTGCAATTGAATATCTGATATTATAAAGAAAAAAATTGTAGCCTAGAGCAACACATTTAAGTTTCAAAACAAATTGAATATGAGGGGGAAATGGCCTATACATTTTGTTTTTTTTTACTAAGTGTAAAATACTCCATGTTAATAATATCGGAATATAATCGGAATGATTAATTGATAACCGCCAATATAAATGTATCATGAGAGAGCATATCTCATCTTCTGCAATGTAGAAGTTGTGTATTGCCTTTAACAGATGTGCAGTGAAATAGCTAGAGGGGGTATTTTTTTTAAACATGTTTACAACATTTATATTTCTTACTTTTCTAGAAAATACAAACTTTTGTTAAACATTAGGATCATCAAAATAGTAAATATTACAAACAAAATGCAATTATCTGTATTAGATTGCAATCGATGCACATGTAAGCGACCTTGCTGTATGAATAGCCTTACCTTTTAACATAAAGCCAATTGCGTGACATATCAGATTTACTTCAGTAATGTTATCTAGTATTGAATCCGAAAGCCCGATCAATTGCAGAATTTAACAGTAAAGCTATACTCTGAAACATCTAAGATAATACAGTAACCTTTATTTTCTGACATGCATGTGACTTAAAAAGGATAGAAAAAAACTAACTACATCTACAGGACACCTTAATTTACTGAATTATCTCTAATATAATATAGAGATAACTATATCAAAAAGGGAAAAACGAATCCCTGGCACTTTGTCAGAATGGATTAAGAAATCAAATATATATGTTAAACTTTTGTATGAAGTGATTGAGGGTCATCAATAAACCACATTTCCTCTTGTGATCAATAATTGAGCATTAACTC